TGGCAAGGAGACATTCCCAGATGTTTTTAGTGAGCCATGGAGGCTTATATGCTCTCCTGCCCCCTTTGACCCTCCTGGGGATTACCTTCCTCTGGGCTTTTCATTTTTTGCCATGCCAAGCAGGAGATGACACCAAATCATCCAAGCACGTATGTCTGAGTATAATAAATCTCATTAAGACTTGTCAATGCATTCTAGGGCAAAATTGGCAACATTTTAAAGGAAATTTGCCCAATATAGAATTGCTAATGTGTTACTTTACTGTAAAAATTTTAAAGCTTTTCGGATGGGATGTGAGGTCAGTGGGTGAGATGATGTGCACATTGTCAGTTCTGAGCTGATGTGTCATAAGGATATGCTTGCACCTAGTTTCACATATCTGTGGTAGCATTTTTAAAGCTTTCAGGCTGTGACATCCCAAAGATCTCATCCCCCTCTTAGGGGAAAAGCCAAACAATTGTTTTTCACTCGTTGTTTTCTTTTACTTAGAACTTAGCAAAACAGGAGCCTATTTTTACTGGGTTCTAAGTAAAAAGTAACCTTTGGGTAGAAAAACTAACCAAGCTGCTTGTGATCGTTTGTTATTTTGAGAGAGGCATTTCTGCAAGTCATTATACTGTAGATTTTTTTCAGATGTCTGCATCAGATTATTCCTGGCAATAATTCAGTAGACAAATAGTGTGACAGTGGGTGAGAAATGTTGCATTCTGTAATAGTGTATGTTCAGACTATTGTACAAAGTATTTATTTATATATTGAAATAATTAAAATAGGCATACATTCACTGTAGATTAATGAGTTGAAATATTTGTAGGAATCAGGTTACTTACTTGGTACTTCAGTATTAAGCTGGTTTGTCACGACCAGTAATTGTGGTGGGGTTAATAACAGCAGTAAGCCACTCCATGGCCAGCGCTAGGAGACTGCTAATATGCCTTATGGTATGTACCAGCAATTATAATACTTCAGAAGTGCCTTTAACCATCTGAGACGTGTACAGACTGTCTCACTGGAATAAACTATGCGAGGTCTGAAGGAGTTTATAACATTGCTGATTTTGAAACTTTATTGAATGTTAATAAATATTTATCCTTTCTTCATGGACAGCTAATTTGCATCAGGAGTGTTTAAAAAAAACACCTAAAAAAAAAACAGCCAGGAAAATGTACCAAGTGCCTCTTCTCTAATTTAGTGTTACTATTTCCACTTCAGATTCAACCTTCTAATTTCTGTTGAGCTTTTCTTTTGCCTGCTTCCCACTCCTTTTCTAGCAGTTCCTTGCTGTCAGCTGGCATGTTTGAAAGTTAGCTTTTCAGTTTAAAATCACAAATGCAAAGTTGCTTGTGTCCCCAGTAGAGGTTTTAATAGAAAAGCTGTTAAGAATGCTGCCAGCCATCTGTGAGAGGCTGCCATGGAGGCAGTTCTGAATGTAACCGATTCCTTTCTGAAGACACAGGCCTGTCTTTGCCTGTTTGCTTTAACTGAAGCACATGCCTACCTCCTGGCTGTGGTTCCAGAGCCCTTACCTGGGAGAGAACTCAATTACTTACATTTTTATGTATCGTCTTTTTGTCTTATGGGCCAGCATCAGAAGATATCACTTTAATTCTGACATCAAAGAGGAGGTAACTCATGTTGCTGTGAACTGGCTCTCCCTTTACCTTTCAGCAAAATATTTCTTTGCATATAGGGTAAAACATATGCACGTGGGGTAACACAAGTTTTTAGTTCCACCAGGTCAATTGATAGGCTGCACTTTGCTTCTGAGTGACTGATGGCAATTGAAAGAAGCCAAATTTTTATTGCCACGATTCTTCTATCACTGTTTTCTATACCTCTTTTCAAATGAGGTATATAAGTGTGCGTGCGTGTGTGTGTGTGTGTGTGTGTGTGTGTGTGTGTGTGTGTGTGTGTGTGTATTTCATCATCTGGACCAAAAGGATCTGGGAAAAAAGGGCACTTATTTCTTCAACCTGCTGGAATGAAGGAGAAAATTTTAGTTGGGCATACCCCAGTGTGCTGGGAAGGGATATTTTATGCTAATGCATTGGTTATTTCGGTAGATTTGAATATAAATCTGGTGTTTAAGCTGGCATGAATACACCTCTGATCTACAAAACAATAAATAAAATAAATAGAAATAAATTCTCACAGCAGTCTGAAATGGCCGGTTAGTCACATTCACTCCTTTTTCTTCTCCTATTGCAAGTAACAGTGTATGTTAAAGTACCTAACTACAGGAGAGCCCTACATCGGTAGTGATTTGAAGTCTACTTCCTCTGCTGTCTACTAGCTGGCTGGTAAAAGGGAAGGAAAGGCAGCATTGGAAGCGTTTCATGGGCAGAGCATGAATAGGATGAGGAAATCCTGTACCTTCTAACATGGGGCAAATTTTGTGGAATATTAACGCTGTGGGTTACAGTACTGCTTCTCTGATACTAGCCATCCCATACCTTATTAGACAAGCATTCTATCTATCCAGGTATTTATCTAGCTCTTGTTACTATGGGAACTTGAGCACCTTCTTAGCATCTTAATTACAGGCATTCCTTGGACTTACCACACAATTGGTTCCTGAAAACCACATCTTAAGTTGAAACGTTGTAACTCAGAACTGATTTTTCCCATAGGAAACAATGTTATAAATGGAGGATTAGTTCCTGAACCAAGGCCTAATACCCTGTTTTCACAAAATATAACCCAGAATTTGGTACTCAGTCAATTATAGATGAGTAATATAGCTACATTCATGTATTTATACTGTAAATAGCAATCACATTGATTTGGAAGGACTTCTTCGAGGTGACTTTGTTGGACTTTTTGAAGGGCTCTTAGTTGGACTTTCTGAAGGGTTCTTGACTGTAGTCTTCTCATAAGTCTTGGCTGCAGGTTTTTCTGGAGTCTTGTCTGCTTTCTTAAAGAAACTGTCCAAGGAAGTCTGGGTAAATGTTCTCCAGGGAGCTGGGCGATGCAGCGAACTTGTTTGCTGGTGTGGCATCAAGTCGGATCAAGCGTTGCAAAGTTGAAACTGACAGCAGAAAGTTGAAACAGGGTGTCAATTTATAAACGTTGTAAGTGCAAAACATTGTAAATCAAAACGTTGTAAGTTGAGGACAGCCTGTACACTTCTCTCCTTTACTGACCTGAAGATCTTTAATTGGCACCTCCCATTTGGTCCTACTGGACATTGGCCCTATTAACGAAGCCATTCTGAATTAATACATTTTGTCAATTAGAGAGAATATGACAAGGCTACTTACTAATAATTGTAATTGTACTGTATATTTTTGGTGCTTATAGTTCTTCATTGTAAAGTTTTAACTCTTACCATTGTGTTCTTAGGCCAGAGTAAATTCTGAACAAGAACATTTCCTCATTGTACCTTTTGGACTTCTTTATAGTGAGGTTACTGCATCCAGTCTGGTAAGCATGCTAAATTATTTTTATAACACCAGAAAGTGAACATTATGTTTTTGAGTGCTTGTGTATATCTATGTCTATGCTTATCTAGGTTATATCATAGGGACTATGCTCTGATTAGGTTCTCTTTTGTTGTGGTTGTATGGCAAGAATAGCTAAGTTGTGTGGTTCTTGAGTCAACCTTATGACTAAGGACCTACATAAATTGTGGTGAGACTAACCAATTTTTGTGGGTTGGTCACATCATAAAAAGCAAATTTTACAAATATTTCCTGGATGTGCTGTGCCAGCCCTGCCCCTTGGCGCTGATTGGCAGAGTGGCCTCAGTGAGAGAGAAGGGACGAGGGTTGCAGCTGCCATCTTGTTTGTTGGCTGTCCATGCAGCCCCGCCCCTTGGCACTGATTGGTGGAGAGGCCCCAGCAGGGAGAGGAGAGACGAGGGGTGGCTGCCATCTTGTCTGCTGCCCTTTGTGCCACCCTTCCAGCCTGCACGTTCCTTATGCCCCAACTATTCCTCCCCCCCAGCAGGCTGCAAAGGACTGCTAGGGAGCCAGCATTTTATTTTTATTAATTTTTTTTTAGTTGACTTTGTGGACGATCCTGGATTTTGTGGTTTCCATGAAATTGTGAATTGAGTAGACCTCTATTTATGATGTACACCTGCTTCATAGTTAGTATCTTCATAGTGATTTCAACACATGAAATGTTAAATACTTTTGTTGCCTTTTAAACCTTTCTGAATTACAGAACCACAAAAGACTTGCTTTAATTAAACATATTCTCAGTTCCAGATCTTTAAAAAAATGATCTAAGGGCAGGCCCAGATCTAACACATTGGGGCTGCAGTCATAGATAACCACAAACAGAAGTTGGCATGGTTGTGTCAAAGGAAATAACTTGGTTTTGGAAATAACTTTAGTCAGTTGTGACTTTCAGAAACTGCTGATGGGGAGGGTAATGAATAGAACTAGGAGAATGAAGAAGTTGCATCAAGTGAGAAGCTATTGCTGTTTCTTTCACCCCCATTTTCAGATACTATCAGTTTCCTCCGCCTCCCCTGGGTAAGAAGCAAACGCGCCAGGGGAAACGCTGCCACCGCCCCGGGTGCGCTCTGTCCCAACCCACCTGCGTGTACCCCCAAAGATCTTTCTAAGTACCCCTGGGGGTACATATACTCCCAGTCAACAACCCCTGAACTAGATGTTGTAAGCTGCACCATTTGTGTGCAGGAAAATGGTTTAGATCCATTTAAACACAGGAGTTGAAAATGGAACAAATGGGAACAGGGAGGCAGGGTGTCAGCAACAGTTAAAGAAAACATGCCCTTACGAGACTGACTTGCTGGAAAATCAATCACGTGCTAAAAATCTGTGGTTGCTGTGTGTTCCAGTGCATCTAACAGGTGAGGATTTAATTGCATTTCATAATCAAGTAGGACCTAAGGCTATCAAGATTAAATACCAAAGATAGTTCATTTTATAGAGAAAGAGCCTTCATACTTCTAAATAAGGGTTTACCTGGCAATCAAAGATAAAAATAATTACGTTATCAAGCAAACAGTGGATCTGTGCCTGGAGCTAAGAAACAATAAGAAAGTGTAAAAGAGAAAGGATTTAGATGATACTTTCTAGATTAAGTATTAATCGGAGGAAGAAATAGGGCCTAAAAAAAAAATTCCTGGAGCCAAATGTTAGAGGGGACTCTTTACTCAGGTAAATAAAAGGTAACCTGCAGAAGAGTGGTAATCTTGGTCCTTTTCTTGCCCAAAAGAGGACTGAAAGGTGTTAGTTTTGGGGTTTTGTTCGGGTTTTGTTTTTGTTTTTTAAAATCTTTTCCATTAGAAGTATAGGTACCATCTACGGTGAAATATAATCAGTGAAGAATTAGTGGAAATGGTGTCACAAGAAGCAAGGAAGTAAAAGCCAAACAACTTAGCAGAACAATTAATTCACATTTATACAATTCCTTATTAATGCATTTAATTTCTTACAGGAATGTAATTAATATAGAAGGCATGTTTGGTGCTAATGTAAAAAAATCTTCAGTTCCTTATAATATATTCATCATAACATACTGTATTTATTTGATTCTGAGATGAGGCCTTCTGCCCCACATTTAACATCGGGGGGGGGGAGGGAAGCCCTTTGTCTAAGAATCACATACGAGGGTGTGGCAGGGGGCAGGCAGCTGGCAGCTGCTGTGGCTCCAGCTTTAGCCCCTGTTGGGGATCAGGGTCATGGCCATAGCTGCAGCTGCTGTCTGCCTCTTCCTCCCACCACTGCCTCTACACCCCGTCATCTCTCCCCTGCAGTGTCTTCTCCCCATCTCCCTTCCTCACCTGCCATGCAGCCTCTGCTCCCCTGCCTGCACTTCTCCTTTCCATCCCCTAGTCCTTGCTCCGCACCAGCAGGCTCTGTGCATGCTGCAGCTTGGGGCACTGATCATGGCTCCAGCCTGACCCTGTAGCAGTGCCGCACAGCTGCTACACAAACTGTGCTGAGGCTGTGCTCAGTGCCCCAGGCTAGAACAGGGACCGAACCTTTTGGAGCAAGCGTAAGGGGAGGCGAGGG